TATGTGGGATCTGAACTGGGGCCTCTGGCGTCCCAAGCCAGTTCTTAACCATCGCACCAACCATATCAGGGCAGGCCACTCGGCCTGCCCTGATATGGTTTTGATAACAATATTTTGCACATGTTTATGTAGAAAAAAAGATTAGAACATTGTAAACACCAAAGTGTCAGTCATGATTATGAATAAATGGCAAAATTATAGGTCCTAGTTTTATGTTTTTACTTCTTTTTGTTGTTTTCTATTGACTTAATTTTGTATTATAAATGTATATTACTTTGATGAGTTGAAAAGATAAAATCAATTTTTAAATGTATAACTTTGAGTTGATGGTGAGAAGCAGAAACTTTTGAAAACAGGCATATTTTGTCTTGTGATTAAACATTTCTTCTTGGGTTAAAATGAAGAAATCTCGCACAATTAGTATCATGATTTGCTTGAGTTTTCCCTCCCGGAAGTGTCACGGAACCCAGGTGACAGTCTGAAGAGCTTTCTCCATTGTTGCCAAACCATTGATTTAGAAGCACTCCTCAGATATGCATAGGTATATCTTTTGTCATCTTTTGTCATCCCATGTGTATGTAGAAAGACAAAATCCAGCACCTGTGTGCTTCAGGTGACCCGTGAAGGGATTCTGAAAGGATTTCCAGCTGCAGTTAGCAGTGTGTCCACCTAGCCATTTGTGAGAGTCCTCAAGCAGCATGCAAAGCAAATGTGCAGATGTTAAAAGGAGAGACAGCAATAGCCACAAAGAAAAAACGTGCCCCCACAACTAGCAGTACTACACAAACATAACTGGATGAAGTGCTCTGAGCCTGGCAGCGTACCCAGGGACCACAGGTCACTGATAGACTTCTCTGCTCCCGCCTAATGCTGCAGGCCTACTGGTAAACCTCCATTACAGCCATAACAGGACCAGTATGGAAAAGGCCTCATTGGTCTCTCCAGCCACAACCCCACATCAGAATACACCACCATTTTCAGCAGAAGTCAACCAACCACACATGTGTTTTTACACACATTTAAAAAACAAACAAACAAAAAACTGTTATGCAGAAAGATGGCACATCAAAACCTTAAGAAAAGTATAATCTATATTCACGTTCATTTGGTCATATTGTTACTCACCTATTTACAAGCTAAGCCATACGCTGAATCAGCATTTTGGAAAGGTACTGAAAGATTAGAACATTTTCTTTTCCTCCCAGTCATGATAGTCTATTAAAAGAAAACCTACACTCATTTTTCTTATAATGATTTATTGAAACGTCTTTAAATGTTTACATATGAGAACATAACAAAGGCAGTCAATGACAGATTAATTTCATTTTGGAATGAAACTTTGGAAAACTGCCTTCTACTTCACCACTCTGCAATACAGTGCGAAATAAAATGTGCTGCAAAGTCAGTCTGCTCCGACATAGAAATTCTCAGTATTCTTAGAATTCTCCACACAATCATCTTCCACTCACAATGAAGTAGCGTAAGGTACACACATTTTTTTAACCCAAATGTAGCCATACAATGTGATTCTAAGAGAAGAAAGTTCAACATCCAAAGATAATACTTCAGTGCAGTTTGCATCAAAAGCTAACTGTGAAGAAAAATGTACTGGCAGGAGTTGCAGTTTTAAGATGATGTTTCTTTTCCTCTCCCAGAGACTTTATTATGAAGCCCCAGGGTGCAATTCCAAGTTTCTAAGTGACCTGCAGAATAAAAAGATGATTTTGGTATCAAGCACGTCAATTCAACACAGACACAACCATTAACTTTCAATCTATAGGGAGTTAAGGTCAAATATCAGGTACCAAGTTGTTGACAAAGATGGGTTAAAATGAACATAGGTACACAAGAATTTCCATGGAACTGTTCTGTGGTATTCGGAAATTGAGTTATATTTTTCAACTAAATAAAATATGTGATCCCACACTGGATCCTGTACAGAAGGAAAAAAAAAATTTAAGGACATTCTTGGGTCCTTAAAAATTTGTATATAGACAATAGATTAGATAAAACTGTCAAAGTTAGATTTTCTAAAGTTGATAACTATACTGTGGTAATTTAAGAAAATGACTTTGTTCTTAGGAAGTACACACTGAAGTATATGGGGGTAAAATGATATGGTAATATAACTACAGATGGCTCTGAAAAAAAATATATATCTATATGCAGAGAGAAAGAAAGATGCAGGGACAGAGGGAGGGGGCAGAGAGAAAAAATGATATACCTAATGGAGCAACATGTTAACGATTGGTGAATCTGAGTAAAAGTGTATGAGAATTCTTTGTACTATTCTTGCAACTTTTCTCTAAGCTTGAAATTATTTCCAAATAAAAGAAAATAATAAAAGTAATGCTTCCTTTGATAACTATACCCAAAGCAAATCATTTATTTGCCCCTTGGCAGTTGTGTGTTACCTTTGCGGCATATTATTTTGAATTTCTTGTATATTGCTGTGAACTTTTACTTAAATTGCCCTCTTTCCATTTCTGGTAGAGGGGTGTTGAAGCATCCAAGTAGAATAGTGAAGTCATCTGCTTCTTGTAGTTCTATGAGTTTTGTACCTCACGTAGTTTGATGCTCTGTTGTTCAGTGCATACATGTAAAGGATTGGTATGTCTTCCTGGAGAATTGACCTTATCATCATGCAACTCCCTGTCTATTCCAAATTAATTTCCTAGTAGTCTGCCCAATATTGACACTGTCCTAGGATATGGTATTGCTCATACCCATTTTGACTGATAAATGTGCTACTAATACTAATACGGTATAAAAGAAATATTTAAAACTGTTTGCCAGAATACCTGGATTTTGAAAAAGTAGTTTCTTCTTTTCTCTTACTTTATGAAGAAATGCAGTGCCTGGAAATAAATAGAAAATTCTGAATAAGGCATTGTTTCATCTTGAGGTTAAAAAATTATTTATCAGTGAAAACACATGATGTAATAACCATAAGTCATAAAGGAAAAGACTAAGACGCTCAAGTATAAAAAATGAAAAATTTCTTCAAATAATGAACTGTGAAACCATATTTTTATACATTTAACAAAATATTTGTCTCTTAATAAAAATATTTATTTCTTTAATTTATTTCTTGGTTATTTCTAACAAATCAGTAAGACATACATGTATGCATATTTCTGTATACATGTATAGCAATATTTGAATATCACAAGAAATAGTAACAATGGTTATTTCTGAGGAGTATAAAAGGCATGTGGGAAAAGGGATTCTTTTACTTTTCATGTATAATGTCTGTATTGTTTGAAATTTTTACTCTAACCATGTACATACTTAATTGAACCCACAGAATAACAGCTGATTAACTTATGAATAGCATATCTCAAATGTTAAAAGATAATAATGGTTAATATTTATTTAGGGTTTACTCTGCGCAAGCCACTATTCTAACCTCTTAACATGCATAATTTCAGTTCATCAGCCCAACAACCTTATGAGAGGGGTGCCATTAGTCTTCCCATTTTGCAGAAGAGGAAACTAAGGAACAGAGAGGTTAAGTAACTTGCCTGAAGTCACACAGATGGTAAATAGTGGGCTTTAGATTCAAACCCAGAGCATCCAACTCTAAAGGCTAGACTTTTAACTACCATATAAGTAAAACACTCCCAAAACATCTGGTATCAGTTTGGTCCACTTTATGTTTTTAGACCTACTCTGTTCTTGGGCTGTGTGTCCAAAGATAAATTTTTTTGATGATTTCTGTTCTGTGGAATTTCCTTCCCTTGCAGAGCTGCTGGTGGCATTTTTATTCGTTGCTCCTCTTCTTAACTTGACACCTAGAGATAGATGTAAATAGTAACCATATCTGTAAAAAATTTATTTTTAAAAATGGGTCCACCCACAGTATTTAATCGTTCCCTCCCAGAGTGCTTTGCTCCCATCACCGAAGGGTCTGAGAAATAAGACTTCCCTGATTTCGATAATGGAGGGAGGTCAAGTCATAGATGCTTCTGGGCCTTTTTAATTCAACCAGACAGAGAGATCCAATTACGATAACATCGACCTCACTTTGTGAATTTCCCTCTCAGTGTCACTTAAATTTCGCTAAGCAGACCGGAGGAGAACAGGCTTACCCTGTTTGCGGGCATATTCTGCTGCTTTGGGTGCTGTTAACATGGCAAAAGGATGCAAGGAGAGGCGGAAAGGTGGAGCATGGGGAACCTGAAAGGACACAAGTGCTACTTTTAAAAGCTGCACACACTCTGTGCTGTTAACACCTGCTAGCTAAGATTCTTGGCCTGCTGACCCAGCACATAATTCTTGGACCTCACTAACAGTCCACTGGTGAAGCTCATGTTTCATTCGTCATGCACATTCACACACAGCCTTCTATGTCCTCCCTCGGTTCTCTTTGCCTAGAACGCCATTTCACACACTGGGGCTCTTCAGATAGTTCCCTTTACCTAGAATAGCGATTTCCTTCTCTTTTGCCTGGAGGCTCTTACTTTTCCTAGAGACTCCTATTTTTCCTTTGAGATGTAGCTCAAACATCACCTTTTCTGAGAAACTTGCCCTGATGTCTCACAGCCTCGACTACCCCATGCTGGCCGCCTGCCCCCCACCCGACCCCAAGACAGAATGATTGACTCACTCATCTGTGAATTCAAAGCATATTGCCACATAGAACAAACCCAGTGTGTTATATTAATAGTTAGTTATAACCCACTGTCTACTGCACTATACTGGAAACTCCCTCAAGGCGAGGACTGCTTCTTCATTCATTCATTCATTCATTCAACAAATTTTCAGTGAGCACCTACTATGGGCCAGGCTCTGTTTTAGGAGCTGTAGTTAGCAAGACAGACAAAGTTCCTGCCTTTCTAGGGCTGAGTGAGGAGAGACAAACAATAAACTAACTATTAGACAACCAGGGCAATTATACATTGTGATAAGTTTAATAAACTAAACAGATGATGTGCTAGGGAGTTCCTGGGAAGCCACCATTTCAGACAGAATGGACAGAGAAAGCTCTAGCAGGAGGCCATGTTTCAGCTGAGAGTTGCAGGACGAGGAGGGGCCAGCCGTGGGAAGAGCTGCAGTGCTCCAGGCAAAGGGAATGAGAAGGCCTTCTTGGAATAAGCTTGCGCTCTCAGACACAGAAAGGAAGCCAGTGTGGCTATAGCATCGTGAGAAAGGGGGAAATTGTAGACGAGGCTGAAGAGGGACGAAGGACCCAGATCACATGGGTTCTTGTTGGTCATGGAATGGAGCTGTACATTGAAATTGATTCCAGGGAGCAATGGAAGGCCTTGCAATATTTTTAAGCAGTATTGCTATAAGGTCTGATTTAGGTTTCAAATAAAAGACAAAACTGCTCTGTGAAGAATGGATTGGAGTATGGAAGGAGGGAGGCTGGTTAGTTAATTTAACCTTTTATCTCCACTGCCTTAGTGCCTAGCACGTAGTAGGCACTCAAATATTATGGACTAGTTGAATAACTATGATTCTAGTAAAGGCAACAGTGATTAACAGCATGGACTTTGGTGTCAACCTGGCTGTATTTGAATGCAGGCTTCACCATCTATAAAACGTGTGAGCTTGGGCACATCGTTTAACTTCTCGGTGACTGTTTCTTCATGTGATAATAGTAATACCAGTGCCTACCTTATAGAATTGTGGTAGGGATTAAAGAGTTAGCATATGTAAAGAATTTAGGAAGTTTGGCACATAGTACAATATAGTAGCTTTAAATTTAATGATAATAATAATTATTATTATTGATACCTATCATCATCATTTTTCTCCCTGACTGAATTCTCTCTATTGCACAGAGTTACCCATGGGGGCAACTTGGCCACCATTTCCTTTATAGGATCCTGCCTCATCTACCAGATAATGGTTGAGTGAATTGCTGACAAATAACTAATCGGAGCCAGGAGGCCTAAAATAATTAACGTCTCACTGCAAGCTCAACAATTTTCTGCTTTCTCACTGATAGAGATTCAGGTTTTATATTTACAGAATTCTTATTTCTAAAGAGTAAGAGTTGATTACACAATTCTCTTTATGTAAGCATTTCATCAGTAGGACACTGTTATATGATGTTTAACTGAGGCAAACACCAAAAGACAATGACAACAAAACAAATACTTATTTTTAGATTTCCAGGTCAGTAGAAAATTTTCTACTCTAGTTTTATCACCCAAAGCTCTTAATGATCACACTCTTAATGATCAAGTCCCTACATAATTGGTATCCCTTTGAAGTAGAAATTTGTATTTCCACAGGAATCTGAGCTCAAAGATAATTGTGTGGTTCACATATAGGTGGGGTATTGGGGGGGGGCTCTTTTATTTTTTTTTTTTTTTTTTAAAGAAAGGGACTATATTTAAATATTATTTTGTAATTGTAACAGGCATGACTGAGCAGAGACGTGGAAGACGCCTGCGTTCCTAACTATTTTGTGGAACTGTGGTGCCAGCCCTGGTCTGCCTACCTCCAGAATGCTTTTATGTGAAAAGTAAACATCTGGTTTTTTTTTATTGTTTTTTTTTTTTTATTGGGGAATTGGGGGGATGGGAACAGTGCTGGGGAATTGGGGGAAGGGGAACAGACAAGTTGCTGTCGTTTTTTTTTTTTTTTTTTTTTTTTGTTCTTCAATCTAGTTGTGGAGGACGTTGCTTCACTGGCCCAAGTTGGCACCATCATTGCGCTCTTCCCGGGCAAGGCAGATCAGTCGCTGGCTTCTGGACGGCCGCTCACTGCGGCTGCTGGCCGCTCACGCTGGCTGCTGGCTACATACGGTAGCCCATGGCAACCCACTGCCACAGGGACTGCAGCCTACGCCGTCGCCGGCGACTCATGGCAGCCCAGCTCCAGGTTGAGCTGTTGTTCAGCATCTTAGCTGTAGAGGGCAGTGTCACTGGCCCTCATATGTGGGATCCGAACCGGGGCCCTCTGGCATCCCAAGCGAGTTCTTAACCATCACGCCACTCGGCTGGCCCAGTAAACATCTGTTTTTCACTATGACTATGGGTTTTCGGTTGTATCGTACAGAAAACATGTATAAAACAATAAATGAGGATGTGTTTGTTCTCTCAATTGATAGAATAGACAGTCATCTCAGCAGGGGCAGTTCTAAATTGACCTCAGTCTTTTTCTCAAATGGCAAAAATATTTATTGAGAGTTTACTTCATATTCAGCATTGTAAAGAAGTACCTAAGCATAAACTATGGCCTCTAACCTCAAGAAGCATGTCATCTATTCAGAAAGTTGACCCTAAAGCACAGAAAACAATTGAAAGGCCTTATATAAGTGTGAGGGCAATTATGGCTATGATAATACCCCTTTAAGATAATGTACGCCAGGTTCAAGAGAAAGAGAATTGGCTCATATGGGTTTTTTTTGTTGTTTTTTTTTAGTGGTTAGATATTTATATAACTTGCTAAATGGGTCCCCTCAGTAAGTCTAGTTATATGTCATTCTTAATGCACTTCTGCACTTAGAATATAAAAGCTTTCCATGTTCTAGTTTCTCTATTTATTGAAGATAGAACCCAATGATTTTTAAAGCAGTATTTTAAGCTGTACTGTTACAAGGTCTGATTTAGGTTTAAAATAAAAAATCAAAACTGCTTTGTGGAAATATTCTATGAGCCCTGATGATCTGACGACCCGCGCAAGAAGTTAATGTAGTTCCTGTGTGGTTTATATGAAAAAATTATTTAAAAGTAGGATGAAATTTAAATCCTACATCTAGAGTGAATCATAGCTTCTGTTTTCACTTTGCTACTTACTAATATCTTCACTGTGTCAATGTAAAAGTGTTGTTATGCTCATTTCTTGATTCGAGTACTTATTGAGTGCCAAATTATGTCCAAAGCACATTCAACAACAATTTCTTGCAACTGGAAGGGGGAGAAGAAGAAGATGTCATGTGTAAAGTCTTCCTTTTCGTTTCCCCCTCTTTCTCCATTAAATGGAACTGAAGAATATTTTTATTGCTTGCTTTATTTGTTGAAGGAAGACTTTTGCTCTTTTTTCCTTCAGTTTAAAATTCAGTAAGACAGTTCAGATAAATAGGTGTAAGAACCTAGGTGTAAATAGCTCCCACTTGCGTGAGGTCCTTAGTTGATTTCTTCTTTGGATCCAAGGTCCTCAGCAGAAACATGGCTCCTTATCAGGAGTAAAACCTGAAGAATTTTACTGATAGAATTAGTGAACAATACTTGGCCCATGATGCCTTTCTGTCACCAGGTGGCAGCAAAGAGTTCTGAAGAAAGCCATTGAGCCTATACACAGTACCCATATTGTATCATGTGGCCAACTCTAGTGGCTGGAAATTCTACATAATCTGATTAGTATTCAACAGGGCTTTAAGGTCTTGTTTGGGAAGGATTTTAGCTGTTGCTTAGGAGACATTTTAGCCAAAGGAATCAAAGGTCAATCAAATATATGCAGCAATTAGAGAAGAACTTTTGGCAATGACTATTTTTTTTTTTTGAGCAACCCATCTCCTAGTTAAAAATTTTGAAAGTGTTACGCCCCAAAGACAGTTTTAAAATAGCTCTTCTAATTTGCAATCTTTGCAATGCCACATGAGAGGTTCTGCTAATTCCTTATTTAAGATGTGGAGGAGATCCCTGAGGGGAGCAGAGGCGTGGCCACAAGAGAAAACCCTGAGCAGGGAGGAACTTGGGAGGCCCACAGGGGTAGATGATCCTCAGGCTCTTGTGTTTGTAGCTCAAATCATATCTAACCCTTTGTGATATTTCATTATCTAAAATACACAAAGTTTACATTATATTAATAATACACATGGATGCTTGATGAGCTGTTTAATTTTTGAATATTTAGTTCAGTGGTTCTCAGCCAGCTGTGATTTTGCCTCTTAGAGGATATTTGGCAAAGTCTAGAGACATTTTTGGCTGTCATGACTGAGGGGAAGCTACTGGCATCTAATGGGCACAGATTTACCCAGAGATGCTGCTAAACACCCCACAAGGCACAGGCCAGCCTGACTCCACCCCCTACACACATACAACAAAGGATTATGTGGTCTAAAATGTTGAGAAACCCTGATTTAGTGGAACATAGAGGAAATCAGATACCCAGCCCCTGAATACCAGAACCTTAACTATATTTTGAGGTATTTTGAGGTTACCACTAAGGGCTTTACTGGTACTAAGTCACTTCCTTGGTCACAACAACCCCATCTTCTTGTCCCTCTTTTTGCAAATGAGATGGAGACCGACAGATCTGAGAAGGCTTGTCCAGGGTTATTCTGCTGAGTATGTAGCTGAGGGCGCTGGGGTTCAAACCCCAGCAGCTTGGCTTTAGAATCCTCGTGCTTAACCATTATACAAAGTGTCTTTCACATACAAATCAATAAATGAGCCAACATTCATCCACTGCATCAATAAACAAACAGAGACCTTTGAAGGAAAGTCGCTTCTATGAGTATATTATCTATTTCCCTTCAGCGCTGGTCATTATGTAGTCTGTGTGCACATCTGGGCTTTTTATTATCGGTCACTGATGGTGAGGATAGAGGCTGAGTATAACTGAACAGAGAAGGTGCTGAGTAAAGGCTCTTTAATGAATAAGTGAGTGATCAGGTTGGCTGGCCCACCTCTAAACATTGTGGCTTCCTGTTCTGGCTCCTTTAAATGAACCTGGCTCATCCGAGCTACTCAGACACCCATGTTTGCAAACCTTTTTGATTGATATCCCAGCCACTGGAGGGGTTCACAGCGCCACCCCCTTCAGAATGTCATTGTCTTTATTTGCCCTCTGGCCATATGAGTCAAGACCAATAGATCCTAGTGCCTGACTGAAGCCTGACCTAGGCCTCCCCGAGGCACCGGAAGATGAAGGGAGAACACAGTGACCAGTAACAGAGGTGCTTGGAGATCAGATATTTATGTGTATGTATTGGGGGTTGGGAGGGAGAAAAAGAAGAGGACAGCCTGAAAGGAAGAAACCTGCAGAAAAAACAAGCAGGAATGTAGCAGTATGGCTTGCTTGGATCTCCAAGAAACCCACAGAGCTGGGCTTTCTTTAAAAGCCAAGAGCAGCTTAGTCTCTGAACAGTATCAGGCCTGCAGTGGCCAAGGGGGAATGTCAGCCCCAATATAAGATATAGGAACGATGAGAAAAGCAATCTTGTCTGACTTGCTCACCATTATACATATTCCCTGCATCTACAGCTATAGTGAATGAATGAATGAATGAAGTTGAAACTAGAGTGATCAAGGGAACCCGAGTCTCAGGACTACAGCCAGGTTATATGTGAATTCAGAGAACAGGACAGTTTGTTTCAAAGTTGCAACTCTTAGTAAATATTTGACTCCTGAGCTGGACCTGATGGGCTCTTGACTTGATTCAGCCTCACTGTTTGCAGTATGGTCTACAGGTAAAAGAACAAGGGAGATGGGTGTTCCCATAGCCATAGCCCTGCCCCTGTTCTGGTCTCCCTTCCAAATCCAGTGGGGGCATGGAAAGCAACAGAAGGCCTGGGTGTGAGGGGGGTGGTTCTCCCTGCTCCTTTTCCTGGCTCCCTCCTGCTACACATCCCTGCCCAACCCATTCTCCGTTTTCTGTTCCTTCTTCTAGAGGCATCTAAAGGTAAAGGCATCAGTAGTTCACCTCTAAATAGCAGCCCATATTTAAATGTTTATTAAATGTTCACACATTCGTAAATAGCAGAAGCTGAACTGGCCATAAAGATCAGTATATGGAAGTCCAAAGAAGGAAGGGACTTAGGGTTCCGTAGTAGTGGACTCGGAACTCAGACGCAGGTGTCTGGGCTCCCACGTCATTGTTGCTTCCATTGCAGTGATTTCAAAGGAGTCTGATGGGAAGAGGAAATGTGGCAGCAGTGAACTAGATAATTTATCAAGCGAGTGAAAGTTGTAGACCTTGTCCTAGTTCTAGATGTCACGGTACATTGTACAAGAGGAGCGCTTGGACTTACCAGATCTACATTACAAAAAGTGTAAGTGAGAAACTCTGTTAATCAGAAACGGGGGCAGAATCTAGACTCCAAACCTGGTGCTCTCTTTGCTGCCTGTATTCAGCCTTACACAAAAAACGTTTGTTATTACGAATACAGTCCTCTATCTAAGGAAAGCATTTTACAAACATTTATTACCCAGGTAAGATATGATTACATCTGGTTTTGTACATCATTATTTAAAACTGTTATTTCATACCTGAAAATACAACCGCATAAATGTATCATCTAAAGAAATTCTCTCTAAAAGTCCCCCATATTGACAGTCTCAGGTCACTCCTTACCTTGTTAGCACGAGGATTGGCAGAAGAAGCAGCCCCATAAATATTAAAGACATCCTCAATTGGGAGGCTGTTCTGTTAAACAACAACAACAAAAAATGTATTATATCATTGCTTTCCTTTTATTACAAAGCAAAACTATTATAGCGTCAGTATGTCTTGTATGGTGCCTGAGTGGCATAGGCACTAAATAAATAACTTCTGAATAAATGGAAAACTCAGCATATCCAGATTCCAATTATTTATGTGTTTCGTTCTGTTTTTTTTGCCCCTTAAATAAATGTTTTCACACTACAATATAGGAGTCAAAGTCTTTTTATTATACCTTATAAAAAATGAAACATTTACTATTAATAAATCCTAAACATTTACAAACATTAGTTGAAAAAGAAAATAAATATGCATTAATAGTACATTGTGCACAGTAAATATAAAATCTCCACATATGCAAAGAGTGTTCTTTTCCTTACCATTAATATTCCAGCATAAGATGATAAGATCATTGCTTCCCTTTCTCTATGGTTTGGATATATGGGTCTGGCATGAAATGGCCTTTTCCTAAGAGGGAATATAAATAAATAAGAATGGAGGTTTCATTCTTATTGTTTTTGATACCTGCTGAGGTTGTGATAATAGTTCATGAATAATCTCCCATGTTCATGTGCTATGTACTTGTTTACAAAATCGATATGATTCATCTGCCATCAGTAAAGTACACATTTTGAATTTTGACTCTTCCAACAGTGGTGATGAATTTGCCCTCATCTATCCATGTGTTTGGCAATTATCAAACATTGTCAGACTGGTCACTATGGTGGACAGTTATGGTTTTGCCAACCAGGACTCTTTCCCTTCTTGTGGTAATTTGCTTGGGGGAAACTGCATTACCCCACTGTAAGCCTATGTGTTTCCAGGGAAGCTGACAACACCCCTAGATTCCAAAGATAGAAAACAACTGTGGACCTAGCTAGTCAGCGTATTCCATCCCCCACTCCACCACCACACAAGTCAGGGCAAACAAAGCCACTGAGACACAATTCTGTGATTAAAAAAAAAAAAAAATCCGTTCTCCCCTGAACTGAATGTTGCAATAAAGTGGACTCAGAAAGAATAGTGTCCACACAAAGGACATAGTGAAGAGGCAGGTTCTGATGACATGGTTTGAGTTTTGAATTAAGTCCTGCCTAACACAGACCGACCCATGGACTTTTCAAACACGGAGGCAATAAATCTCTATCTCCTTTTTTTTTTTCTTAAGTCTATTCAAACTGGATTTTCTGCTTCTTACAACTACATGCTAACTGATAACAACCATCAGGACCAGGTATGTGTTCTAAGGTCATGAAACAGAAAAACTAACAGGCCTTTGGAATAAGCTATTCAATTCTGGCCTCATTAGTTTCACGTTCTTACTAATTGAGTGAGTCTGCCTGGCCTACATGGAGAAAAGGCCAATAACCCCGGAAAGGAAATTATTCTGTGATTCAAACAGCTCAACTCAGGTACCTATGTGGTTAAATGCTTCAGAAGTTGTGTCTGATAGTCCTTATGGAAAGATGGCATCAGTTAACCACAGAACTGACCACCTTAAAAATCATGGCATGTACATAATAAAGCACAGTCATATCTCTAAGGCAGAAAAGATTCTATGTGAGAAAGATTTGCATCTGATAGAAACAATTAGCAGAGATGCATCATATGTAAACATGTATGTGAGTTCCCCAAGTTGACAACTGTAGGGTTTCTTCAGGTTTCTAGGTCGGGAGGGATACACCCCCTGCAGTGTTTTCAAATCAGAATGCCTCATGGTGGAAGACCCTACCTAGATAGAACTTCCTCTGTCATTGTTCATAGTCACAGATTAAAAAAACAAACGTATTTCAACTTACACTTTCTCCCACTCCAGCCAAGTGAGGTCTTCTGAGTGATTCAGCCATTGCAAAGCGACACTGATGGCCAAGTCATAGTGTGCCTGCAGCAGGAAGCACAGAGAACCAAGGAACTGGCTTACACGTTGGCCAGAGCACTTCTTGGGCCCAATGACAATGGCACTGCTAAGCCTAGCCTACTATTTTGTCATGTCCACAATGGTGACGATCGTCAGCTCTGTCCAGTAATCTGATTCTCAGACAGAAATCATTCAGGCATTACATTTACCTCCCACTAGAGCTATTGTTCTGCTTTGTGTGGACCAAAAAAGAAAGGATAGATTCTTAGAAAGAGTACTAAACTGGGAATCAGGGAATCTGGGCTCAAATCCAGGCACTGCCAGCAATTTGTGGTATATCCTTAGGTGAGCAATTGATGTTCTCTGGGCCCCTGTTTTCTTAATTTTTAAAATAGAAGAAGGTGAAGGTGGAGGAAGAGGGACCCAGAGAATGATTTCTAATTCTGTGAGTAGAATGACAGAAATGTGTTCCCACGGGCACAGGGGAAGTGGTGTGTCCACCTGGGGAATCCTGTGAGACTTCAGAGAGGAGGCCCTGGCAGAGCTGGGGCTTGAAGGATGAGGAGAATTTCTGTAGGTGGAGAAGGACTTCCAGGTGGAGGGGCCAGCGTGAGCAAAAGCTGAGGTAGAGCTGATTAAGTGACCTGCTGAGAGTCTCGTAGGCAGTAAAATGCTGAGGACCAATTCAAATGTCCATTCCTATCCTCACCCCAGGAAAGGGAAGGTCGGTTTCATTTTTGTATTTTAAGATGGGTTCTAAGGTTCTATCTAACACCAGCATTCTCTAAACAATGTAATTATTTCTATTTCTTCCAGGGACTGAACCAAACTGAAAAGTGAATCCAGAAAAGAAGAAGAAGAAGGAGAAGAAGAAGAAGGAGAAAGAGAAGTAGTGGAGGAGGAAGAAGAAGAAAGAAAGAACAAAAGGAAGAAAGGAAAAGAAATGAAAGAAAAAATAGACAATGATCAATTATTAAAACTTAATCCAAAGATGGATGCATTGACCGGCAGCCCTGGCATCATCTGTTTGCGCATTAGAAATGCAAATTCCCAGACCTCCTGAATCACAACAGTGTTGTAATAAGACCTCATTAAAGTTTGAGAAGCAGTTAATCTAATTGATTTAATTTCTCCATTTAATACATGCACAGAGAAGCACTTTAGAACACAAAGGCTTAACTGCTTATTCAGCTACCGGGAAATCAGACAGGGAGAGGAGGCGGGGGAGGGAGAGAGCTTTTCTTCCTTGTTAGCACAATAAATAGTAAACCAGTAACATAAACAAGCTGAGAGTTTACTCATTTCTTTTGAATTAGTCTTTACACACTTTTTTGCTTAATTTATGTGAAGTAAACTTTCATTACCTAATTCGAACCTGAGCTTCAACATGAATAATAACAAAAAGAATTTTAGGATTATTCAATTCTTTGGGTTTTGTCCATTAATGCAAATGGTTAAAAAAAAAAAAGTATTACATTTGAGAACTACACGATAGCTAATTCTGTCCCAAAATGTTTAACATCTTGTATGTAATATTCACCTTTGCACTTCTTTTGCTTTTTAATCTTTTCTAATAGGAAAAGCCTCGTGACATGTATTTCCTCATTCTTTTTGCTTTCAGTTTAATGAATTGAAAAGACCCTATGGAGAATGCTAATATGAGAAGATGAGAAAGAGAACATTCTGGGAGATCACAGGCAGCCTGATTCCAAACTTTGGGTCCTTGTTCTGCCCCCTTCGTACACATATAACACAAATGTGACTCGCACTCGCATGCCTTTCTTTACCATATCATCTAGAAAGGTGAGCTGCCTTCTTCCTTTTGGGTCAAATTCATTTTCCCGAAGTCTGATGCCAATATAATCTCCCCTTAAAAGCAAGAGAGCAGGATTGAACCATTGGGAATGACACCGCAGCTCAGTTTGCAGGCGAGGGTCCCTGCCCAGTCCCCCTCCACCCCCTCCTCTCCCAAACGCTAGAGCCCTCGCGGATGGCTCTGGTAGCTGAGTTCATATTTCATTTGGATTTAAATAGCAATTCTGTCGCGCTGCAGGCCTAAACTGTCTAACCATAATGAACTTAATTCATATTTATCCAAAAATTAAATTCACAGAGTCGGAACAGAATTTATAGGAGAGCAGGGCGTATGATAAATCCCCACGTGCAGAAAAGGGTTTACAAAACCGAAAGGATTGAGATCCACTGTTTAAAATAAGGACCCCCTTGCTGCCTGTGTTAAACACGGGCAGAATGGCCAAAAGTTGATAAATTCGAGATACATGGTATTCCATACAGACGTATTCTCTTGCCCGAAGGCTTTTTCCCATTAGACTGCAAATACCCTTAGGAGGAGTTATGCATAAAAATATATTAGTAATTCCACCTTAGTGTACCCTTCTCAGATCCTTTCCAAACAGTGACTTTTAATAAAACAATGATAGAATAAGAATAGAAAGGGTGCTATTTTGGGACAGGAAGAGGAATGGATGCAGGAAAAAGGACCCTGAGGTCTCTGAGGTCCATCTCTGCAAATCTCTCAAGTTTACATACCACCACACTTCTGGTTGTCAAGGTCTTTACCACACATTTTGGGCAAGTTACCTTGTGGGGCATAAGTTTGTTTCTGACTTCTAAAAGCTCTTCTTCTGAGTCACTAAGCTTAGATTGACAAAAATTCTCAAGTTTTTTCTTTGTAATTCTAAGGTACTTTATTTAAGCAGCCTAAATGTATTCTTTGGCTATAAAATTGTATTTATATTAGTTTTAAAATTCCAGTTCTATGTGGAGGAATTGGCATTCATGATTACGGTTTGTTCTTTAGTATGTTGGCCTCCAAACACATACACGTAAACATGTGTGAATTCATACATAGTTTATTCTAGCATTTCTTCAGGACTTGTTAAAGAATAATTGTCTTAGTAGGCCAAGAAAAGTCATTCGATGGGGATTGTCACAAGGTCTTTTATGAAAAAGGCATTACTGTTGTGCCTATAATACATGTGAAATACAACATAACCCTTTTTCACTCTTTTTTATGTGGCCTGTGATTTTCACCAACCTCTTAACAAAGCACCAAGTCAAAGAAAAGCTATCACAGGAGAAAAATGTTTTCCATGGGAAAACTTAATATTTTCTTTGTTTAAAAGAAAAAAGTTCAGGGCCAGCAGAGTGGCTCATTGGTTAAGAGTTGGCTTGGGAGCGTGAGCTCTGAGCAGCAGGGCCAATGGTTCGGATCCCACATGGGCCAGTGACACTGAGCCCTCTACAGCTAAGATAGTGAACAACAGCTTGACCTGGAGCTGGGCTGCCATGAATGGCTGGCGACGGCATAGGCTGCAGTGGGCTGCTGTAAGCTACCGTGAGTGGCCGGCAGGCAGGTGAGCTGCCGTGAGCCGCCGTGAGCAGCCGTCCAATGACCGGCGACCAGCCTGCCTCAGCCAGGAAGGGTGCAATGATCACAATACCAACATGGGCCAGTGAAGCGACGTCCTCCACTAGACTAAAGAACAAAAGGACAGCAACTTGTCTGTTCCCCTTCCTCAATTTCCCAATGCTGTTCCCCTCCCCCAGTTCCCCAATAAAAAAAATCTTTAAAAAAAAAAGGTCAAATGGCAAGAAAAAGGAAATTAATTATTGAGTCGATAAGACTGGCAATAAAAGAGGCAGAGACTGCAATTGAAATGCTGAGCCCTTGGAAATATTTTTCAGAAATCTCTCCTACATCTTTTACCAGCAGGTCCATTTCTAAGGCACACCCCGCCCAGCACAGGCAGACTGGGCTGTGGGCCCAGATCTTAGGCTCTAGAATGGGGATGCCTCAGATACACATGCTGCTGGCAGAAACATCCTCCCAAGAGATTCAGCATCTGGCTTTGTGAATCCTCTCCGGCTGGAGGCAGAGGTCAAAGCATCTGGTTTTCTCTGATGGTGCAGGAATAGAATATTCCTTAGATTTTTATCATCCTGCCAATATCCAAACCATCTGACATAAAACCCACCAAATGCTGAGTGAAATAAATGAAAGTTATTCTCGATCATACTTACAGGAGCTTTTTCATTTCCTTCTTTAGGAGCCTTCTTTCCATGATGAAAGGCTTATCCAGCTGAGCAGGTATCTGCAGCTCATACTGCACCTGATATCCTTTGGGAAGACCCAGCCTCTCTCAGCCTACAGCAGCAAATCAGAGAGAATTTGAGTAAGGGATGCTATCAGTCCAAATACCAGTCATGGAGTCCTAGGCTCTGGAAGGGATCCGAGAGTGTGCAGAGCTAAGGCCTCTTCTCCAGCAGGTTCCAGGTCAGAAAGCTGTGTCGAGGCCAGTGCACTGCACCTTGAGTTTATCTGACACCTCTTATTTCTTCCAAGTTTTTCCAACAGTCATTATTTACTTATCCTTGCAATAAACTAGCATGTAAAAGAGACATGGCTCGTGTAATAGTGGATGGGACTATTTGGGAAGCAGCATCCAAACCTGGGTGGCCTGTGATCTGAATGTGTTTGAGTCCATGCACATTCAACATAGTGACACCCAGTGAATATACCCTGGGACAGTGGCTCAAAATGGAGTATTCTATAGAATCCACGTACAACTTCCTGGGGCCAGGAGGTCAGCGAAAGAACATGTGGTGATGGCAAATGTAAGGCCATGTTTTCAATCCCACCTCTACACCGAGCCAGAAATTGGAGTTTGGTGATGGTGTCAAAAGGGTTCCGAAGTCACAAAAAGGAGTTTACAAAAAAAAACAACAACAACACACACATTCTCACTATTGGATGGGGTGCCCAGGGAGGGGTATACATGGGATATCAAGTATATCTGCAATGTTTTATTTCTTAAAGAAAAGATTTAAAAGATTTAAAGTAAATTGTGATGGTTCAGTTTATGTGTCCACTTGACTGGGCCTCTGTCCCGAGATAGTTGGTCAAACAGTATTCTGGCTGTTTCTGTGAAGGTGTTTTATGGAGATTAACGTTTAAATCAGTGACTTGAGTCAAGCAGATTACCCTCCATTATGTGGGTGGGTCTCACCCAATCAGTTGAAGGCCTTAAAAGAACACAGACTGACCTGTCCCAAGCAAGAAGGAATTCTGCCAGCAGACTGCCTTTGGAAGGCAGCTATGCTCACCACTATACCACCAACGCCGTACTAGACTGCCTTTGGATGGTTACTCTTCCCTGAGTCTCCAGCCTGCCAGCCTACATTATCAGATTTTGGACCGGCCAAGCTGGCACAATCATGTGAACCAATTCCCTAACCTGTCTTTATGTATTGGGTCGTCGGAAAAGTCATGACGTATTTTTCTGTTTTTCGTTGCAAACATGTGTCGTGACTTTTCCGACGACCCAATATATACACACATCCTGTTGGTTCTGTTTTTCTGGAGAACCTTAATACACAAATATCACAGAAATGTTAAAATTTGTTGACTCTGGGATTATAGATTCATGGATGTTCATTATATTACTTTCTGTACTTTTGAAATTATGCATGTGTTTGTTTGTTTTTTAAAGATTTTATTGGGGAATTGGGGAAGCCAAGTTGTTGTCCTTTGGTCTTAGTTGTGGAGGGTGCAGCTAGCTCAGCTCCAAGTCCAGTCGCCATTCAGCAGCCCGTGCCCCCTGTTGGCAGTTCGTGGCCACCCCGGTGACCCTGTTGCTCAGAGCTCGCGCTCTTAACCAACTTAGCCACTCGGCCGGCCTCTATGCATATGTTTTAAAAATGACTATTCTAAAAGTAACTGGAAAAAAACTCGAGCAGCTTTTTTTTAGATGGTACCATATAACCATTAAGCTTCAATTGATTCAGCTCTCCAAGAATAAGCAGACAGAAAACAGGATGCTACAAGGTGATTTAAATGAATTCTTCACCAGACCAATTCAATGATTTTGGACCATTCTTGTTGCTGCTACATCTGCTTCAGCTTTGGATGGGATGTGGAAAAAGTGAAAAGGGAGAAAAAAGTAGGAGCATTCCATTGGAATTGGATTAACTTTATATAAAGATAGTAATATGCTCTTTACCGGAGAATAAACCCAGGGAGAATACTGCAAGCCAGAGAAGTGGCCTCATGGCCCAGAGAAGAAAAAGCTCTGACCTGGGGAGGCCAGATGCTGGGATATGGTGTCCACTCCACCACTGACTGGTGTGGCCGGCCAAGCCCCTTGGGTCCTGTACGCCCTAGTTTCTGGTGTCATCTAAAAAATGACGAGCCTGACTAACATAACCAAGAGCACCTTTTGCCCTGACGTTCTACAATTCCACAAAGGCTAGCATGTATTATTTTTCTAATTCAAGAACTTGGAAAAACATTTGTTGGTAGAACATTTGTCCTACCTCAATTCCTTGACTAGTGTGTATGTGGGGTGGGGGCGCTCACTTAGCTTTGATGCCTTTTTAAAAAGCAAAACAACATAGCATTTGTTTTAACTCATTCTTGTTTGGTAATTCTGAGCCAGCCCTTTGAATTTCAGACTTAGAAATTGTAAGATTTGCATCTCTTGGTTGCTATGACAGCTTCCTCTTAGACCCACCTTTCCTCCCCACCACCATTCCATGTGGCATAGTATGCAAAGGTTTACATCTTTAAAATATGAGCCTCTCCCGCCCCCAAACTGCTAGGCTGGAGGTCCAGAGACCCTGTGAGGCTACCAACTAGCTGTGTCACCTTGGACAAGTGTTTTTGTGTCTACTCCGCTGTGAAACAAGCATTGAATGGATGGACAGGTCCCTTCTAAGCTACAGAGTTCAGTGACTGACATGCATTGAGTAGCTATTCCTGGTTGAAAGAGGGACATTTGCAGAGACTCTATTCAGTTTGGATTTGAATTCAGCCAGTCACCCTTCTTTTCTGTCTATAGAGCTTTAACGAAAACAAGGCTCTGGCTGGAAATGCACACAAAAGAGCGACTGGAAAGATGTCAGCTGTCTCAGGCATTAGCTGTTTCATAGAAGCCAACCCCCACAGAAGGCACAGCCCCCATATTCTATAGGAATACTATGCCCTGAAGAATATCTGTATGCTCTCTGCAGCCCCCCATCTGCACCCCTATATCTAAGATACAAGTCTCTCATACGACGTTCTATTGAGTGCCCCGCTCTTAACAAATTCCCCTTTCAGAATCTCTCACCAACCGGAGACTGATTCCAGTACTTTTGTTCCCTCCCTGCTTCTGGAGGCGTGCTTGAGCATTGGACTGGTGCTCACAAGACATCAGGAAAACATGCTTTCTTGTGGCTGCTAGGGAACGGTGACTGAATAAAAATAATTGGTTTTTTAAATACACCCCCAACTCCCCAACTGGGAGAAAAAATGTTATACATTTGGGACAGGACTGTGATCCTGACCTGGAGTTCACCTATTTTTTTACCTGAGTAGGCTTCAGGTTCCCATCTAAATGATTCATGGGAAAGTTGAGAGGGTGTGAGAAGTCCACCTCCCACACGACATTTTTATAGCACTTGGCTCCAGATCCAGGAGTCAAATGGCTGAGCAAGGATTTCTGAGGAAGCCGGTGAGCCTCTGGCTCCTTACACGCTTAGGGTGCCCCCAAGCACTTAGAGTGACTCTACTTGATGACTATGGACACAGCGCAGTGGAAATCCCGAAGAACCATCACCTTATTGCAGGCCTTCGCCATGTCTCTTGCACTTGGCTCCTCATCGTAAACACTTCCTCTTTTGCTTAAAGTTTGTTGATGGTTTCTGGTTGCTCTTTGAATAATATCTATAATAGACTCCTAACTATGGCCTGTGAGTCTCCTCCATGCCCCAGAGTTTGTTACTCTGGCCCCTCTGGGCCTGGGTGTCTATCAATACCGCTCAGTCCTCATTTCCATGCCTCTTCACTGACCAAGTCTCTTGGTTACCTCAGATCTCAGGTGTATGAGTGACAGTAAAACTCTAGATTTAGATTTTTGTAGATGAGTTGTTCACGCCACACTGAATTTATATTATACTCAGAAGGTTCCAGGTTTTGTGAGCCTGAAGTTTATACAGTTTGAATTTCATAAATTTAAGAAAAAGAAAGCAAAAATTTGAATAGAAAATTGAATGTTTATTTAGAATCATTAATCACAAGTTATACATTTTAAAGAGCTAACAAATACCACAAACATTAAAAATGTAGGGGAAAAAAATCACAGTATGAATATTGTCTTTATTATTAACTGACCTATCCTAAAATTCTTTTTTTCTTGCATACTCTTTGATTACCGCTTAATGTGACAAAGATTTTGTAATATTATTTTCTATTGAGAGATTGGAAAGACAATTCAGTCTTTCCTCTAGTGTGTCTATTTACGGTTCATTTTTTATTAGGATAAACATAAGAATTGTTTTTCAGTTTACTGACAGCATGTTGGTGATGCCTCTTCTATATCGTTTTCCAAAATTTGCTGCTCAAGAGATGCTGTTTCCCCAAGGGCAATCCCTGGAGAACTTTATCCTTGACCTTGCTAAATCTGTTTACCCCTGCCTCCCCACCCCTACTCCCCACTCCAGCTGCTTACCTAAACATTTTTACTCCCAGGCTGCTTACTTAAATTTTTCTTACTATCACTTTTTCCCAGTGGGCATGCAGGATTCTAACTTTGTCAAGCCTTTTCCTATTTGTCTCTAAATTTTAAAAATTAAAACTGCATATTTAAAATGTTTGTAGACTTATTCCTCAATTAAGTTTGTAATGATTTCATTCCCATTGCGTTGGCCAGAACACACAAGTTGTCACTCTAAAAATGTGGGCTCTAGAGTCAAACTACCTGGGTTCGAATCCTCCCTTTGCCATTTGCCATCTGTGGCAGTTACGTTTACCCAGATGGCAATGAC